GGGGGGGGGTGTCTCTCTCTCTCTCTCGCGGGCGACGTCTCGATCGGCGCATCGACCAGAGCGAGCCGTCGCCTCGCAAAGCGCGGGGTTATCTTCATGCATTAAGTATCTCTGACTCTGACTCGACGGATCGCTACACTGACAAAACGACTACCACAGCCGAGACATATATACTGCTGGAAAGTCGAGCGAGTAGGGAAAGTGAATAACGATTGGGGCGTGGTCAAGATTTGGCCACGCACTTTTGTAGTTATACTCTATCGCACGTACGGAGGCGGGCGGGTTCGCCTATCGTCTAGCTTCCTTCCCTACGGCCCCGTGCGAGTAGGCAACCCGCCCGCACGCGTGCATGCCGGTACAGTACAACTACTAAAGTGCGGGACGTGAGTCAGCCACCGGGATATAGTTCCTCGCATTTCCACGAGCTTCTTGCACAAGATGCTGCTCGCCGTACGAGAGTCCTGACCGTCCTGACTCTCCATTACCTATCTAACGGCAAGGTGTCCGTCGGACACTGGTTGGGAAACACCTGCCGATAGATAGGTAATGATTGAAATCAGGACTCTCGTATTGTAGAGTACTATATAGGATCGTATTGAACGGCGGTGTGGTAAATTTCACGGAACTGCGATAATAAAAATCTAGTGTAAAAACATCTCGTAATAGTACGTACGATTTGAGCTTTGTCTAGTTGTTAGCGGTTGCTATATGCACCCTGATTAATTTTCACATTTATTTCACCAGTAGTTTGGGTCAATAATATCGTTTATGCTACTGAAAGTCACGACGGCGCTTTTTCACAGAGATTGTTTTTTTTTTTTCTGTAGACATTTTTGACGGTGGAGCTCTGGCACGGAGGCCATCCCAACAACGTGCTGGTGTACGGCGTGGACCTGAGAAGCGGAATTACTTTACGACAGGGTAGCGCAGTCGGTGCAGTCGGCAGCAGCGGCAGCGCAGCCCTTTGGGTGCCTTTGGGTCCGTCCGGGTGTGGCGGGGCGGG